TTGATTTAGATTTTTATACTATAATGTGGCACGAGCAACAGTTTGAAGAAGACCAGTTACGTACAAATTCTTTGTCACGATCACACACACACACACACACACACACACACACACACACACACACCCACACCCACACACACACACACACACACAAATAACCAAAGTTGAAATTTTAAGTTTCGAATGTCCAATCGTCATAATTAATATTGAGAAGGAAATAGGTTATATTGAAAACTAAATATTTCTGTAAAATAATTTTTTTTATCATTATGTTACAGATTTATTGATGTGCCTGTGAAGTTACGAACGCGAGTGTACAACCCCAGATATGTGTGGTAATGGTTAACGAGCTCCCCTTATAGTAATGGATAATGCTTCAGACATCAAGGACATAAGCTCAAGAGAATCATAACCCAAGAAACAAAGACAAAAAGGAAAAAAAAAGACGTTGACTAAAGTGAAGATGAAATAGTTTTCAATGAGTGGGGAGATGAGACATCTTTAAATTTTTGGCCAAATAAGGAATTGATCGAACCGAATTATAATAGTCTGATGCATATATCGCGTGAAGAAGGATTGTACATTCTAAATGCATTATGATTTTCTGTTTCCACAAATTAACATGGGATCGAACGTTGTCAAACGTCTTCTTTATTCTCTAAATGACTATTTCCTTCAACATCAGTTCTAAAATTTTGAAACTGACGACCATAACTCTTAGTTGGCGTTTTTAATGATTCATAATGTACGTGTGACTTGTTAGCGACCCTTTTTTCTTTTTTTTCCTGATCTAGAATAAATGAAGTAATTGAGGTTTTAACTATATACTCAATTTTACTTTTCAAAACGTGGGTGATACACGCACCAAATATATTAGATCATTGCAAAAATTCTTGCCCGATTAGAAAATTAAAAACCTTTTAGATACTAACAAAAACCGAGAATTCGACAAGTACATAGTCTCCATTGTTGATACCATTTTCTTAGAAACTTCCTTTGTGGTTTTTGTTAGTTTTCGAATGACAGAATCATTTTTTTGTCATTTAAATTGTTCTGTAGATAGCGGAACAAATGAAAATCTAAAGAAGTCAAGTGAGGAGGGTTACGGTTGGTGCTGGATAGTTTCCCATTTCAACTCTTTAAGTTTCTGCTTTAAGGTATGTTTTGCAACATGGCGGTCTGGCGTTGTTGTGGTGGAAAATGACACGTTTTTCTTGTATGCAAGTCTCCTCAAATGGCGAAAGATATTTGAGATATCGATTTTTAAACTCTTACCAATCACTTTGAAATTTTCAGTTTATTCTCCACGATGGCAAGCAGAGCGTCTTCGACAACTTTGTAAGGTCACCCGGAGCATGGTTGATATTTACTCTAATGAAATCTATTAAAACACCTCTTTTGACCGTCCGATGAGCTGGAACACAATCCAATTAAACTTGAATGCTTTTTTGCTCCAGTTTCGACGTTTACACCTTTCCGAAACTCATAGAGCATAATGTTAACATTCAACAAATTTTGACTCGAAACTGAACAATGAAATGTTTCAATTTCGAACATTCCAGAAATTGGCAGCAAAACTAACGCCAGCGTCATTTTATATTAAAACTGAAAATCGGACACGAACTTTTGCAATGATCTGATAATTAAACACAGCAAATAGACAAGAACAAAATTAGGCATGACTGATGATTTAATTGGGCAAATGATTGAATTTTGAAACCAAAACAGAAAGCAGAAAGAGTAACAGAGAACAAAAAAAATGTAAAATTCTGAGTCTTTAAAATTCAAATGAGTTACACAACATATGTAAAAGGACGGCACCTCGTTATTGTAAATAAGAAAATTTGTCAGCGAACTTGAAGGTGATGTCGGCTGGATATCGCTTGGGGTCCGAAGAGTGACATTAAAATGCTTAAAACACATCTTACTAATGTCCATTTTTCTCGAAAAACGATTATCTTATTATTCAATTTGCGTACAGGAATACTTTTTAATTTGTAAATTTTTCCAGTGTCTACTGCAGATATCACGGGCTTACAATTCTTGTCAAAGAAAAACTTACTCTGCTGGTTTCATTTCTGACAAAAGAAACGTAAAACTGATGATCGGGATAAAAACGTAAAAACATAACTTGTTCTTTGTAAATAATATACAGAGATATGTTCTTTTTGAAAAATTCGGTAAAATTAAAAAAAAAATATTACTCCATTCAAATATAGAGTCAGAAAAAGTCGCAAGTCATATGATTTTGACTGATGTACTCCGGTGTTAAATTTCAGCCTTCAAAAGAGTGGCGCACAAATTGGAAAATATATACAATATTTACTTATATATACGAGGGTTCATATGCTGACTATGAAAAAGTGATGCTAGATTTCTAAAATGCTGCATGTATTAATTTAATTTTTTCTTATTAATAACTACATTGTTTATTTCTATATAAACTGACATCTGACTGTTCAAAGCAAATATGACGTCATCATTACTATGATACGGGTTCCTAGCCAAATGTTTTTTTTTCATGTTGGGGAACAGATGATAGTCAAAACAGGAGAATGGGGGGGGGACGATCAACCAGTTCAAAGCCACAGTTACGCACAGCAGGCACAAACTCTTTTTCTGCAGGTACTTGATAATGCCACAACGCAAAATGTTGTCCATTTTGAAGAGAATTTTCTATTTGTTACTTTTGTTGAAGTCTTTGAACTGTTAAACGTCAGTTTACCTGGGAAGAAACAATGCAGTTATTAATAAAAATACTTGAAATTAATTCATGCAAGCTTATTTCACAACCGTAGCACCACTCCTTCATAGTCAGCCTATGAACTTTTCAGTCCATCCTCTTATCTGCATGTGTGTGTATGTGTGTGTGTGTGTGTGTGTATGTATGTGTGTGTGGGGCGTGTGTGTGTTTGTGTATAGATTCATATACATATATTAATAGATAGATGAAACAATGTTCATCAATACAACGTGACTAAAAGAAAAATTAACGAACGAAACTATTCCTGAATATTTATTTATTGATTAACTATAAACAGGTTTTCCATGTTACTTCCATCCTTTATATTCTCGAATAAAATTTCTCATTGTAAATGTTTCTGTTAACTCTGATTGATACTTACACAGGCACAAGTGCAGACAGACGCATGGAAATATATTCCTATACATGTGTATTTGTAATGATCATAATAAAGAGTATACAAGCTGCTGCTGAAAAAGCGGGAAAACCCGAGGCAATAAAAAGGATTCCTTTAAAAACACAGAAGAAATTGATATTATTTCTTTATTTCTAGGTGGATTGATTTCGAGAGATGTGTGAAATATATAAAGGTAGAGTAACATTTTTTTAATTTTACACCAGAACAAGGAAGGTAAGTTTTGAAATAGATTTTAATTTAAAAAAAAAGCAAAAATAAACAGGGATTCTGTAACAAATAGCGAAAATAATGGATCAGTGAAGAGAAAATTGAATTATGCAGACGAATCTCAACTGATGTAAATCAGTGTGAGTTGCATTGCTTTAATGAAAACAAAAGATGAACAAATGAATAAAGAAATATTAATAATGAAAAGAAGAGGAAAGAGAAAAGCTGGAAATAACAGAACAAAAAAGTCTTGCTGATTACAGCCAGAATAAAATTCATCTTCTACTACAATGGTCTCATAGTTTTATTTCGTGGGTGACGATCTGGCCAAAGAGTTATTTTTAAGACACAAACGTTTGACTGGAAGAAGCTGCATCAGTCTCTTAAGAGAGATTTTATTAGTGAATAGCACATTTGAAAATACGTGTTAACGCAATAAATATTTTCGGGTATTTGCCACAGATCTGTTGTTAGGTTTCTTCGACAACAGCCACAAACATGACTAGTAATAACGACGAAATTGGTTGAGATTACGTTTATCTCGGCTTATCGAGTACCTCGTGACGACCGGATAATCAAGACAGAGATGTAGAAGGCAACTCGTCCTTTCCACACCTTACACGTATATTCTTTTTTTTTTTTGATCTTGGTCACTGTACATTTTTTGCTAGAAACATCTTTTCGATTGTTCATATTCCAGCTGTTTTGCATACATCACTGTCTTATCAGCATTTTGTTCACTGAAGCATTTATCTGATATATATATATTCCGATATATGTTCATATGAATGCATATTCAGTTTATAATTTGAAGTGCATTATATTAAGTATATTCTCTTGCACATATATTTTTTACATGGCTTTCTTACAAAATCTACGCTTCAGCATTTGCACTCACGCAGAAAGTGATATATTGTGTGTGTTTTGATGTCAGTATATGACAACGCAGTAACAATCACTTCTAATTCTCTCTACACGCTCGATATCACATCCCATGTTTACAAAATGCACATCGATATGAAGTTGTTCGTATTTCTGAAGAGCTGCATTGTCATATTATATTGGAGTTTGTTCAAATAAAGAAACAAGCAATAATAGAATGGATTTTTATTCCTTGTTCTCCGTTGCAAAATTCATATATGACACTTGCAGTTATAGCTTCATGGATAGCGCCGAGGACTAATGGTTTAGCGATGCCTGATTACAGAAACGGTACCAGATGCTCACGTTGTCACAAATTGTCATTAGAAAAGTAGCTGTTCTTAATAAGTTCTCGAAAAAAATAGCGTATAAATCTACTTAATGTATAATGCGATGCCTGATTTGTTCATATAGTTCATGTATTTTGCGACCCCAGCTTCTGAACAATACTAGTGGGCCTAGAGTAGTCAAATGTTGCAGTACTGGGCATAAAATAAATTATCTTCATTCATTTTTGCATAAAAAATGATGAGAAGAAATCACTTACAGTAGAATATCTGATGCGAAAATGTTGTTTTCGTTCATGGCTGATTATGGTAGCTACTTCACCTGTGTATAGTGCAACTTGTCATTGAAAATGCATGATTTTTAATCTCCTCAAAACAATTACTTGCGTATAGTGCGACCCCCTAGTTTTTGCATAAAAACTGATCATAAAACTCGCACTATACGGTAAGTATAAATTTCGTAACATAGAGAGAGAGAGAGAGAGAGAGAGAGAGAGAGAGAGAGAGAAAGAGAGAGAGAAAGAGAGAGAGTACAAAAACGAGTCAGTCCAACTAGGCGTTAAAGTCACTATTTCTTTTTAATTTTTTAATAGACAATTCACTGAAGAAATGGAACAATTGATAGCATTTCATAACCAAAAACAAAATTGACAAAATATCAAAATGGAGAACAGCTAGGAAAAGTAGTTTTCATCAAGTTCAGATATATTTTTCCAACGAGTTACAAATGTCTTTAATTGACATTTTTGGCCACCAATGAAAAAAGAAAAAAAAAATACAATTTATTACACGCAATAATTAACTCAAGAAAAGAAAGGATGATAATCAGAATATCAACAGCGATGAGTGCGATTAATACGTAGCAAAAGCTTTCTAACTTATTTCGTACCGTTAAGGAAAGTAAATTCCTTTACGCTTAACTTGATAATTTCCAATAAAACTTGAGTGTTGTTCCAGATTATAGCTACATGTAATGCACAACATCAGAGTTATTCCAACACACACACTCACACGCGGGTGCGCACGCGCGTACACGCACGCACACACACACACACACACAGACACAGACACACACAGACACACACACACACACACACACACACACACACACTGTAAACAAAAATTTTCGGTCGACTTTAACCTGTTGACAACTAGGCATAATACCACTTTGGAATTGTTGTATGGACCCATTTCTTAACATCTGCCAATCATCGATTCAAGAACCGTTCATTTTTGATTTTTATATGAAAGAAGTGACAATCCTATTCTGATATGTTGATGTTTGTTTTGTTCGAAAAGTAGCCATTTTTCTCATGTGCATCTTTATCCCATACGTTTCATCGATTGTTGGTGAACCTGACTGAAAGCACCTGATACGTCAGCAGTGAATTAAATTCAACACCAGCCTTTAGTTCTTTACTTATCAACGATCACCGCCCGTGATTTAAGAGATCCATCATTAAGTGGATCATTTTTAGTCGAAACCTTCTGAAACAAGTCATAATCTTTAATAGATATACAAACAGGTAGTATAACGGATAACAGAACCGAGTTTTAATTACGAGCTAATCAATTGCATTCAATTTCGCACAAATTTCTTATGAATCTGTCTCTTATCCCCACAGCTATGGGCTAAATAGGAGGCCAGCCTGGGTTCTCTAGCCTTGGGTGGCAAACAATCTCTCTCTTTCTTATGCAGATACCTATTTGACCCTACACATACACACACGCGCGCGCGCGCACACACACGCGCGCGCGCGCACACACACACACACGAGCACACACATTTAGATATCTGCTGTAAAGAACTAGTATCATCACACATTCGTTAGACTAGAGTGAGTATATTATTGAAATAGTTTATGCTTGCAGTCATTGTGACTTACGATTTTTCTGATTTAACTTATGCTGATAAAAACTTGCTAAGAGGTTATATATAATGATGATGAATGATATTATATGTTTATAAGATATAAAATATCATTTAGAAAGAATCATATCAACAGCTGACGGTTATGAAATGCTTTTAGTCCTAGTTTGTTTGATGTATAACGAATTAACGACTTACCAAAAGCAAATATCTCGATCTTTCAGAGATCATATAGCCCAAGATAAACATGAAACCTTTGAAGAATGAAGTAGGAATACATTATACATATGAATATTAACTTTCTTTCTCTGTCTCTCTTTCTCTTTCTCTCTGTCTGTCTGTCTATCTCTATCTATCTATCTATCTATCTATCTATCTATCTATATATATATATAATTAGTTATGGTATTAACAAATGATGTCGGCTTTTAAAAATCCATTCATTGCTTACAAGTTACTTTGTTTACACTAGAGTAGAAAAAATTAAGTTAGCACATATCAAAGAGTCCCAAGGATAGACATGTATTACTTTATTTAAGTAATTAAGCCTTATTTTTTATTTAATGCTTTCTCGTATCTTAATGGTAAAGAACGCTTGGCTTGAAAGAGGTTTCCCAGATTCAAATATCCATTTCTCTCCAAAGGCACATTTTCTTTAGTAAGACTGTCGACCTCTCGGTCGAGGGATATTAATTTCTCTGTTAAAAGACAACCGTTTCCTAAAAGCAGTTATATCTACTTAATTACGTGAACTAAATAAAATATCATTCATATATATATATATATATATATATATATATATATATATATATATATATATATATATATATATATATATATATATATATATCTTTACAATTGGAATTAAGATACCTTCCTTTGTTTAATGAAAATAAACATTGAGCTCTCTTTTATGAGTCAGTTTTAACATATTTCAAGTTCTATATTTCATATTTCAAATTAATAGGACTCGCCTGGATTATACCAACGGATTACTACCTCTCTCTCTCTCTATATATATATATATATATATATATGCGTGTGTGTGTGTGTGAATAATTTCACTCTAAGCAAGGCGGGAATGCCACTAGTACGCAGGGTGGGGGTTACAGGGAATGAAAGTAAAAGAAAGACTGACAATAGGGAGAACTGAGAAAAGGACAAATGATAAACGAGATTCAAGAAGACAGAATATTGCGATTGACAGTGCATTTCAATTTTTTACGATTGTAGTTATCAGGGAAGTAAGTAAACGAAAGAATGTTCCATAGTTCTGAAGTTCGAGAAAAGAAACTTGCAGTAGAAGTATCGGTTGCATTTTGATATTTCAACAATAAAACAGTAATCTCGTAGTAGTATGCTTAAATTCATGTATCCGGGGGACCAAAGGGAAAGAAGCTCTTTAGAGCAGTTGCCATGAAAATATTTGTAGAAAAAACAGAGGTTCAGCCACGCGCGAGGGTTGATCAAAATGTAACAATAAAATCTTTAATTAAACATACGATAATTACCACAAAGGTTTCAGAATCTAATTCTTAACATAATTTCCTTCTCAATCGCCGTATTCCACCTTTGAATGAAGTTATGTAAACATCTCTCTGGGACAGCTTCGTGATTGTTTTCGCAGCCCTGTTTTCTCCCTTCTGTGTGTGGTTTCTCCATGAGTTCAAACAGGTGAATGTCTGATGGTGTCAGGCCAGGCATTTAGGGTGGATGAGTCAGGGTTGTCCATACATGCGCAGTGATTGCTTGCCTTGTGTTTAAGCTACTGTCTGGCCTTGCATTATCATATTGGAAAAACACATCACTTATTCTTAAATTTGACCAACATCGAGGAAGTCTTGTTCTAAGTTTTGACAATGTACCAGCATAAGACATAGTAGTGCCAGTGAGAAATGAGTTTATATTCTGTACTTTATGAACCGTTTTTGATCCATGTCCCAGTGGCCGTCACTATCCTTGCAATATGTACTGCCATAAATATTTATCTGGCTGAGTTTGAGTTGAGTCACTTCACAGCATTCTGGGGGACAAATGCCTCACAGATCTTTGGGTAGTGAAGAGACAGAAGTAAACTGCAGAGACCATCATAAGGCTTTCATAAGGCTTTCACAGAGTTCTGCTATAGCGATCTGGCACAAGGCCGAGAATCGAACTCACTACTCAGTCGTAACTGATCTAGCAAGACAAGCTTGTTAACTATTACACCACGTCGAAGTTTTGCTATATTAATTCTTCTTGTAGCTATAAGAACTCACTTAGTCTTATCTTTTTTCACAGCAGCAGCTGGCTTGCCACTGCGGGATTTTTCAATAAACTTCAATAATCTTTTTAGGATTGCCCTTAATTCTACTGACCAATCTGTTTACTCTGTCTATATGAAATAAAGTCATTCTATAAACATTCACATTCATTTGTGAATGTTAGCAACATTTTCTCCTTTTTAAACACTTTATGGTTTGTTGCTAAAAACCCAAAAGAATTCTAACTACTACTTTTAAAATTAAATTATAACACTCCTTAATTTTTAATTATATTAACCTCTATCTCTCTCTCTCTCTGTGTCTCTTTCTGTCTCTCTCTCTCTCTCTATCTATATATATATATATATATATATATATATATATGTATATAGATAGATAGATAGATAGAATTAAAAGCGCCCAACAATATCTTCTACCATAAAAAATATCTTCTAATAATAAAAAATATGGATAATAAATCTGATTCAAATGCTGGTATAATCCCATGTAGTAAATGAGCTAAAATTTATATTAGTGAAACAGAACGAAGTTTAAAAAAGCACATCTATGAATACAAAAGAGCTATAAAATTCGGTAATGCATTAAATTGTTTTATGCTGCTATGCGCAATGTACAAACCGTCGTTTCGAATTTAAAAACGCCAAAATGTATAAATTTATCCATCATAAATCTTCCAGAAGAAATATCAGCTACGATATCACAATTCAATTCGATTAATCAAAAAGTAGGTTTTACTTTTTCTGTTTGAGAATAGACTAATAAAAGAAAATAATATTAAAATAAATACTGGTTAAACACATTCATAAAATATTTTTTATTATAATTTTTATATTAATTTAATTGTATACTTTCTATAACGACTAAATATTATCATAAATTAAAATTTGTATTATATATATACATTATTTCCTTTAGCTATAAGCAATTAATTTTTCTTTCCATAACTCTTTTTTTCCTACATCAAATCATTTTAAATTAATTTTAAGATTTTCCTATGTGCAAATCTCATTGATAGTTCACAGATATTTATTTTATTCACATCTATTTAATTTGAACTTTATTAATAGTTAAATTTTCAAAAGATTTTCAAATTAACTGCAGCATTTTTAAGTAGCAATTTCATCAATGTTTTCTTTTTATTTTTCAGTTGTTCTGATGAAATGTTGGCGACAGAAAAAAAAATAAACATCCAACTTGTTTTCCTGTATTCCATTTTAAATTGTTCGAATATTTCATACCAATCATTTTAGCATATATATATATATATATATATATATGAAGAGAGAAAGAGAGAGAGAGAGAGAGAGAGAGAGAGAGAGAGCGATAGCACCACACTGAATGATTTCTTCCACCTTTACATGAAGAAATGCGCTCAGATGGATGACACATGTATGACGATAAAGCGTTAGTGTAGCTGTGGCGCTGTAATTTCATAACAGCATGGGATGCAGATAGGATTCAACAACGTGTGACTGCTGAATGACTGTTGCAGCTAGAAAGTTTAGACACCCTATTTTCGAGTTTGCTCAGGCAACAGTAAAAAAGATATACCTGGAATTTTGAAATTCCCTTTATCAGTGTCAGGTAAAAAATGTAGGTGCCCAAGGATGGTTTCGCTAGCGACTGACATGGAAAGTAACCATAGATATACATGAAAAATCACATTTAACGCAGTTATTTCTCAACGCAGTTATTTCTCAACGCAATGTACGGCGAACGTGTCCTTTTATGTAGTTTCGCTCTCATCAACCAACAGTGGTACCATTATTGGCGTCAAGGTTTCGATTACGGTTCCTCTCATGAGCAAAAGAACAACGTCATTGCAGTTTGGTAGACAGGCACAAAGTAATACCAGTCATATTTCCAACTCTTTTAGGTCGATGGTCGAGTTCCTCCCTGCGTAGCTCTGGATAACACCTGTATAGATGCATCTACTCAATAACTCAAGATCTTCAACTCATTCATTTTTGGCACTCCAGCATATATATATATATATATATATATATATATATATATATATATATATATATGTTATAATATTTACATCGTTACACAACAATTTCCGTGTTTCGGAACTGTAAAAATGGTCTCTCGTTAGTAAACTCTGTACAAAGGAATCTTACATAACCAACAACAAGAACCATAAAACGGACTTTGAAACAAATATTACCACCAGGATCATAAACCCTACTAGACTCGAAATTGGTAAAATCAGTAAAATTATCCTCGAAAGGGTCAATAAACAAATTAAAGAGCGCCTTAGACTAACACAATGGATAAACACTACCGATGTCATCAATTGGTTTTGTAATATAAAAGATAAAACCAATTGTTCTTTAATCCAATTTGATATCGAAAATTATTACCCATCTATTTCAAGGGAACTATTTATATTGGACTTGGAATTTACCACTGTGTATTCTGATCTAACTAAGGACGAATGGAACATTATTATGAACACAAAAAACTGTTCTTATCCATAATAAAGAATAATGGATAAAAATAATTCAGAAGACCAATTTGACATTACAATGGGATTGTTAGACTACTGAGTCTTCCGACCTTGTTGGATTGTTCATTCTATACAACCTTACTGCCCATCATGACATTAATATTGAGGATATAGGGTTATATAGAGATGATTGCCCTATGGTTGGGAAGAATTCTACTAATTTCAAAATTGACAAAATTAGAAAATTATTATATAAAAAAATAGAAATAGAAAAATCATTTGGTACACACCCCATTTAACCAAATGGTTAGCACTAAGTTAGGGCAGAAGTTTCTCACTTTGATTGAGAAACATTTCCCTAGTTATAATCCCCTAAACAAGATTTTTAATAAAAATACATTTAAATTAAGTTACAGTTGTAGTGATAACCTAGAAAAAATTATTAAAAAACATAATAATAAAATTTAAAATTAACACGTAAATCATAGTCACAATAGTAATTCCAAAACAGAAATCAAATGTAATTGTGGAAATCCTAAAAATTCTCCATCGCAAAATCGATGTTTTACCGAATCAATTGTTTACCAATGTACCATTTTATTTAATGAAAACTCAGTTGTTGGGAAATTTTATATTGGTACTACAAAAAAAAAAAAAAAAAAAAAAAACAACATTTAAACAAAGATAGTATCAGCATATATTTTCTTTTAACAACAAAGCGTACCGTAACCGAAATTACCTTTCTAAATATTATTGGCATTTAAAAGAAATGACTAAAAGCCCTACCGTAAAACAAAATATTAATAAAACGAGAATTTGTAAATCATTAAATGACCCATGTCCCCTATGTTTACACGAAAAGCTTCATACTATAAAGTTTCCTAAAAATAAAGTTCTCCTAAATTAGAGAATTAACAGTATACATTGTATAATGTTTGTTTTAAAATATATTTATAAGAATTGTTCTTAAAAATCTATGCATTACAATTATATATCCATTATTTTAATTATATATAATGGTACACGTAATATTTATTTAATTTTTGGATTTTTCAACTTTACTATTGCCATGTTTTTCCCATTCAGTATAACATGTATCGTTTTTAAAGTCTCAATATATATATAAATGCTTTAATTAAATTAGAGGCCACTTTAAGAAAGTTCGTAAGTATAAAAAAAAATTATAAAAAACTTGTAACACCTCATAAATAACTTTTTGTAAAATATAATTCCATGTCTACTTCCCTGTCTCTTAGCGTTAGTTTTGCAACAGTATATTTGTGGTATACATGCCTAAAGTGTCATTTCATCTAGACTTGAGGAAATAACACACCTACCCACACCTTCTGACTTTATTTTCCATTTTTCTATTTTAGCTTTGACCCGTCTTTTGATTGGTTAATCAAGACTTTCCCACAAATGTATTTTTTAATTTTAGATATTTAGTTTTCCCTACTCCTTTTTTAACTCTTAAATAAGCTATCGATTTGTTTTCTGATTTCCCAAGAAAATCATTTTCATCATATGTTATCTAACATCGCCTGACGAGGGACAATTTTTTACAGTTCCAAAACACGAAAATTTTGGGGTAGCGATGTAAAATATCTTAATAAATGTATTATAATAATATTTCGCTTTACGCTCTATTGAACATTTTTTGAAAAAAAGTAAATGCTAAGAAAAGTGGATTCTTAATCTATCTGTTCTTTCTCTTTATATATATATATATATATATATATATATATTAAAAAGAAGCGAAGAGAGGTGCCGCAAACGTTTTTGGTTGTAATGTTGATTTATTTAGAAAAAAATATTATGCTTTGTTTTACATAATTTTACTACACGTTTTTCTGGTCTCGCGACCGTCTTCAGATAAAAGCGGAGATTTCCACATATCATTAAAAATAATTAATTTTTTCCTTATGCTTTTCAATGTTAAATATTTTCGATATGAGACATATTCTGTTTTTGTGTTAGTAATCCCAGTGTCTTTCTTGAATTGGCAATGAAGAGTTCTGCGCGAAGGGTCATAAAACAATTAAGGTTTTTAATATACATACTTTTCTCTCGTTGGAACCACTACAACCTCTTTATATATATATATATATATATATATATATATATATATATATATATATATATATATATATATATATGACGGGTTCTTCTAAAGTTTTCTTTTTCTATGTAACATGTCTCTTTAGGACATGGGCGATAATGACTCTCCACAACTTCTCACCGCCTATTTTGTTGTTAACTCACGATGTCAGACGAAGATATTGGTGGTGTGATAGTAAAGGATAACAGCTGAGCGGCCATCTAGCAAAATGATTTCCTATATCAATCGGATGAAGCAAAGGTGACAATATTGCACGCATTGGCACTGATCAACGATTGCGGAGACCAGACAGACGACACTTAATGTGTTTCGCTGGAAACATATATCGCATCCATTGCTGTAGATTTTTACGAATGTGTAACTATGTAGAAAAAAGCGTTTTGTAGATGAAAACCTGTTCTATCCAAAGGTGATATTGGGCTCTTTGGTTGGATTTACATGAAAGTAATTTCGATGTTTTTGTCATGAAATCTTGAACTTTGAATTACAAATATGAAGAAAACACCATTCGGATTTCATGCAAATGGAAAACACAGGAAATATAGACAACCATTGAAACTTAAAGACAGCGATTGTCTAGAATGGAAAGAAATAAAAAAAAATAGCAGATATATCTTTGGAAATTGTGGGAAACATTTGAAAATTAAACCTAATCAAAGTAATAAAAACAATTAGAGAATCTATAATGAAGTAATCTGTGCCCTGTTCAAAGTTGACTAAAACTGAATGAAACCTTCCACCTTAAAGATAACATTGACAATCTCGACATTGAAAGAAAAGGTGCAAGATGTTTCACCGTCGAATACAGATTACACCAGTTTCTGAAATAAGAGAGAGAATAAAAACACAAAGAATAATTATGACAAAAAAATGAAAAACAAACAAAAGACAGACGACAATAAAACAAATAAAAAATTAAAAGTAAAGAAGAAAAGCAAGTTCACATTAGAATCAAGAAGACAAATAGCGAAAGAAAATAACTGCATGTAGCTGCGTAGAAAATTGCAAATGTCGGATATAAATTTTGCAACGAAAGACGAATAAGAAAATAAAAATATTGAATATATAGTACTAAACATTGTGGATTAGGAGATGTTTCTACTTATCCTTTGGACAGCCCACGCATATTGAACTTGTAATTAACTATGTATTCACGTATATGTTCATATGAATATATATCGGAGTTAATATTATTAGAAGATACATAAAACTCAAAAAAAAATCTCTGATATCGCTGACTCATCAAAAGACTCTATCCGAATAAGGCGAAAATCGGTAGGAAATTAGCAAATGACACCTTCGTGGAGAAATAGGTATATATATATATTATATGTATTTATATATATTTATACATTGAGAGAGAGAGAGAGAGAGAGAGAGAGAGAGAGAGAGAGAGAGAGAGAGAGAGAGAAGCAGGGAGGAGATATTATTAGTGAATAAATCAGACTCTAAAAATTACAAAAATACAGACAAATGGGTGGGGAATGTGATTCACTGGAAACTGTGCAAAAAACTTAAACACGGCAATAAAGAAAAGATGAAGCTGGCATTCAGTCTACACAAGATGTAGATGTAGGTAGGAAAAATATGCGAAATTGTGCATGTGAATATTCCAATTAACCACTGGGTGTAACATAAAGACGTTAATAGAATTGATAAATATAAAGACCTTGCTCGAGGTCTTTGAAAATTGTGGATTATGCAAGCGATAGTCATATCCATAATCATTAGAGCGCTGGGAACGGTTATAAAATCTCAAGAAAATAATTAAAAGAATTAACGACCCAAATAAGAAATGAGATTCTTCACACGACAGCAAATGGAGTCAGCGATATTACTGAGACGAAAGTGATTTAATATCACTTATTTCAGGCGAAGGTCTTAAGAAATCTCTCGGGTGAAGATAATAGCAGAACAGGGAATAAAACCGAAAGAAAATGAAAAAAAAAAGATAAGTATAAAGACTTTCCCCAAGAGACAGGGAAATTGTGGAGTATGGCAGTCGCGTTTACAATCACTTAGAAGTTTAACGATTCATCTGACGAGTCTCAATGTCGACTGATTCAGACAAGAATAATTACAATTATAAGATTTCGAAGAAAATATTTTAACATACATATATATATATATATATATATATATATATATATATATATATATATATATATATATATATATATATATATATATATATATATATATATATATATATATATATATATATATAAACTTTTGAGTATATAAAACTAATAATTCTACTGCAGAATGAAGGTAAATGGTGACAAGTAAACATAAGTGTGGTGTAATGGATATCGGCTTGGAACGAGAAATCAGCGAACCGAGTTCGAAAGTCAATCAAGTTCATTAGATTCTCTTAGGCGCTATATCAACCTTTTTTCCCATTTATTTAATGCCGAATTCTATCGTTTTGATAAATAATATGTAGGTCCGGTTTGTAGGAGATCCTAAAAGTAGACAGACCCAGTTTACACGATATTAAAATGGTGAGACATTTGTGAGATTTACACTGGAGTAAAAAAGGTAGACGTAGGACCGGTAAGTAGGTGGTTCCTTTATTGGACCTCTCTGCAGGGTGATACAATTGGCGTATTCTTGACCCCAACCGGCAAGACGAGAGGTAGATAGATAGATAGATAGATAGAGAGAGAGAGAGAGAGAGAGAGAGAGAGAGAGAGAGAATGAGAATGGAGTCTGTGCGTGTGTTTTGACTGATTACTTGGATATTGTTGATAAAAAAGGTTTTACTAAAATGGATATGAAATGATAATACACTGTCTATGAATTGGGATTATAACGATAATTATGTTAGGAACAGACAAATGCTAGGAAATGACCTTTTTTTTTTTTTTTTTTTTTACTAGTTTTGACCTTAGATAAGAACTGAGTCCAGGTTAATGTATATCTATTCAAGGATAATATATTGACTTTGTTTAATTGAATAATAGCATTCCTCTCGTGTGTCTTAAACCGATAATGAGTGTTTACAATTTTTTATTTCTAAATGAAATACATTTAAATATATACCTGAAAATAATAATTGAGAGCACATTATCACTCTATTAAAAAGAAACGTACCAGGTATTATTGAGCTAAAGTACTGCAAAAGTAAGAGAAAATTGAAAGCCATGTATATTACTGATATTTTCAAAATTCTATTGGATTCTGTATGCCCAAAAGTCACAATGACTTCGTTAAAGCGGATTGTTTTTTCTTCTCTTAGCTCTGAGGCTAACTTGGATTCTTGTGGATGGGAAGTTACTGGTATTCAGTCGTTGCTAAAATTTTCCAGAAGCATCTTTTGCACACTGTCATGGAATTCATTAAGCACCTTTATTGACTGTGTGATGAGTCTTAAAAAAATAAGAAATTAGAAAAATGGGTTATTTAAAAACTTCGGTCATCGTTTGATTGTCTTTTTCTTTTTAAGCACAGAAAAGGTTAGTTTAAGAAAAATACTCAATTAATACAAGATTCGAAAAGAATGAAAATCGTAGTTAAATCCAAGACAGCATTGTGGAATGTACTAAGAAAAAAATTATTTTCTGTATAAAGTGGATTTCAAAGGGAATTCGAATTGCTGAAATCTGGACAAGCTATCACCAAGCAAATCTGTAGTAAGCACTTGGATCAATGAAATGCGACATTGAAAAAAAGGCAATTTTCGAACTAAAAACTCCTCATGTTTTTTGTACAAAGCTACAGTCATGGTGTTTACGTGGCAAGTTCTTTCAGTACCAGCATCAGGACCTGTCACATTTAGAATGCCATTCGCCTTGCTTCATGTAACATGCCTTTGGTGGGTATATCTAAAAATTCCTTGAAGAATTAATCGAATCAGAATAGGAATCGTTCTTGTTATGATAGAATACACAAGATTACAAAAGCGAGGAAAGCAATTTGATAACTATATAATGAATGAAGCTATAGATTTCTATGAAGAAAGGATTTTTGTCAAAATAAACGATAAACACTGACATATACCTACTATTATAAAAGAACTTTTGATATGTTCAGAATACTTCAAAGTAAGTATATATTATCTATATATTTTAATGTTTTCGGCCATTTTAAAAATGCTTCTTTAATATTTTCAGTTATAAAAGAATTTAACGTGCTAAAATGTATTTGCTGATATCTTTGAAGGTGTAGAATTTATATGTACCAAAATCGGGACAACATTGAAAATTTGGCTGATAAAACATAGATGATACTGAATTGGGTTAATAGCTAAGGAAAAGCAGTTTGCCAATTTTTAACGTGTATATGATCTGTCCGGTTAAGGACATTTTCTTAATATTCTTTTATAATAGAAATGTAATTTATATCACATGTAGGCTTTATTAAAGAAATATCGAAAGCGTAAAAAATAAATAGATGATAAATGGTAACATTTAACGTGCGATCTGATACGACGAACATAATATTATTAATTGAAAAAGTTGAATATTTTGCTTTAAAGATGATAGTATCATTATCACCATTACACGAATTTCTTGAGCTAAAATTCCCTTCTTTGTTAGTTGTTATCGATACATTCTTCAGGTATGTTGTCCATCCAGAAAGATTTTACGTCCTATCGAAAATTCTGGGTCTGGATGCTAGTGATGCTTGCGTGCAACGTCGATATATGTTCCTTTGTCGTTAGATTAAAAAAAGACCATCAGCTATATATACGTATATCCCAAGTAGATTAAAGTAGATTCGCACAATATATTAATTAGTTTTCGGAAGGTAATTTTTTTTTATTTGCCAGCATTTATGTATTTGTTTGTATTTATGAGGCGAGGTATTATAGCTATTGACACTATTTACATTGTTTGGACTATTGTCCACATCTTTTTTGTCCTCATCTTTGTTGTCATATTCACATGACCCATTGGATAAAAGCGTTGGTTGAAGTAATCGATTGACTTGACCCAAAGAGTTGTGCGTTCAATATCTGAGGCAAGCAAAAATTTGGAGAGTTGAGTTACTAATGGAAAATAACTGAAACTGAGATATCAGGAAGAATCATGGCACGTAAAACTAGAACAATCTACCTCGATGGACGAAATAAAGGGTTCAGTTTGAAACTTCAATCACCTGAAGAAGGCCGGAGCTTACACCGACCGAAACGTCGTGAATATGACAACAACGACGAGGGCAACAGTCCGGACAATGTAAATAGTGTATACGGGTTTTATGTGTTGTAATTTTTTTTCTCTTACTGTATCTACATACCTAAATTGAGTTTAAATCTATACAGACTTTCAGGTCCGGCTTTCTTCATTTCCAACAAAGATCTTGTGAGATTGCATATTCTGTAATTTATTTAGTTATAAAATCAATTTTTAAAGATGATGTTCCTTTTTTCTCTAAATATTATCATCCAAGCCTGATTTAAATCAAACCTCTGCGGATTACAGTTTGTTGTCCTTCCCAGTCTATAAATGAAGTGAGAAGAAAATCCTATATAACAGAGTAGCCATTTGCAGCTGTTTTCTGGGGCAACAATAATAGTGTGAACCTATATAATAATTCTTCGCTTTCTTTATAGAGACTGACGATAGGGTGGAGTGCAGAAATCATATTTCTTTCTAAACGCATTGACGCAAAAATCATGTTAGCGGTCGCGGTTGATATTCCAACACAGTTCACCGATTTCATTTTGTAAGTCGTTACCAAAGACACCAGTTCACCTTTTGCGTATAAACACGCAGAAAAATATGCGTGCACACACTCACATACACTCAAGCACACAAGCGCACGCATACACACAAACACACATCTGTATATGGCAAAAACATCAATAATATGTATAGGCTAATGTAAAACACACATACACACAAGCACGTACACACAGACCTACACTCAAAAGCATACAAACCCCTATTTACACGCCTGTAAGTTTTACAAGAATTGTTTTCAGTTTTAAGAAAATTGAATTTAAAATTCTGTATTAATTTCTACTGATTAGGTGATCCTGTTATTAAGTAAAAACTATAATTACTAATTATAAATGGAAAAGCTTTACTGCAATTTAGAGATTCCAAATATTTAAAAAAATAATTTTGAAGTTTTTGATGTGTGTATAAACGTGTCGACTTTTGTAAATACGCTATCAGAAAATAAGAATGGTAACTATAGTAAATTTGAAGCCAAAATACGTAAAATTCAATAAAACATTAAGTTACGAAGAATCCGGTTATAATTATGCTTGTCTCTTCCTTCGTTAGTCCGCACGACCATTACGCTGTGCTGATACCTCATAAATAATGGACTTTTCTGTTTTGATCGCGCGGAAAGAGAAGAAAAGATACTATTTGGTTTCAGTGAGAAAATAAAAGAAAGAAAAAAGGGAAGATAGAAGTATTTAACGTCTCCTGTCAAGACTTCATAAATAATCGACTATTCCGTTTTAATTGCGTAGATAGACAAAAGACATACGAATGAAAGAAAGAATGAATAAAAAAAAGAAAGAAAGGGAAGATAGAAGTGTTTAACCTCTGTTTCAGTGAAATGGTAAAGGTGTCAATTTCAAATCTTTTCATTTGTACCCACTTCTTAAAATAACGACTAACATTCATCATGATTTGTATTGCAATATTTGTTGTTATGCTCAAATATTTAACGATACGATAAGGGAATTTCTACGGATATTTTATTGTCGTAGAACTCGCCATAAGTTTACTCAATCATTAATTTAAGAATTAAGATTCATCATAATAATTAAATTAAAATAGGAAAACCTTGAATTTTTCACGGGTTAAAACTAGTATTTTCTAAAATATTAAGATTACCAGGTAGTTAAAAATTATATAAAAAGACCCTCCGTTATATTCCTCAAGTAATTTGTACAAATATGTCCCGCGTAGCAAAAATTAGATAAACTTCAGGTTGTCAATCTGTCAACACCTAATCGAAACAGCTACCACTGTGATAATAAATTCATATCTGCAATATTTTAAACTAAGAGTAACTAATATTTGTTTCAAATCTGATTAATTAGACTTTAAATGAGCTAGTATTCCTCAAATAAAGTTTTAGAAAAGTATATTTTATTTTTGAAAGAATTTTAATAAGTAGAATTGCATTGTGCTAACAGAAGGATAAAATCAGCGATATTTAACGATTTAAGAAAAAGCTCCTTCTAGTAAATTCGAATTAGTTTTGTAATACAGCAGTGTTTGGCTTACTGGAAATATAAAATTTAATCTATTAGTATGAGATTAAAACTAAATTAAAAGCTTTAATAAAGATTTTACATTTTAAAAATTCATTTTAAATATTAGGTATCGCGTTTTCTGTCGTGGTAACTATATATATATATATATATATATATATATATATATATATATATATATAGAAAAAGTTTCAAATTAAAAATTATAATGTTTTATTTTATGAAAGTATTTATTTATTTATATATATATTTGATATTTCAAATTGTCCTCAATTTTCATCAGAAATAACTATTTTGTTACAAATAAATTAAAATTACTGTTTTTGTTGGCAAGTAGCATCCTTTCGCGAGACGCGGACGTCACGTGATATGGAACGTCACTGTTCAGATATTCTAACTTAAATCTGTCATAAATATTTTAAAAAATATTTTTTACTATATCTAAAGAAATTGCTTAGCTATTGAAATATTTTTAAAGATTTAAAACACCTAAGTCCCTATTCAACCCTAATTTATGTGTATTTAATTTTAAAATCCAATATGTTTCTTTTTTTTTCTGCGTGTGAATGTGGAAGTAAAATCGGAATCTATTAATAAACATTTGCAGTTTTCTAATGTGTGTCCTGATTGATTGTAGTGTTTAGCTATGGGGGAATAAGGGTTGTTTTGACGTATTGTTTGTTTATGGTTATTAAAACGAAATCTAAAATTGTTTCCAGACTCACCAATATATCAACTATTAGGACATAAGTTGCAGAATAAATAATAGATTACGTTATGGGTAATAGATTCCGATTTACTTACATTCACACGCAGAAAAAAAGAAACATATTGGATTTTAAAATTAAATACACATAAATTAGGGTTGAATAGGGACTTAGGTGTTTTAAATCTTTATAAATATTTCAATAGCTAACAATTTCTTTAGATATAGTAAAAAAATTTTTTTAAAATATTTATGACAGATTTAAGGTTAGGAATATCTGAACAGTGACGTTCCATATCACGTGACGTCCGCGTCTCGCGAAAGACGCTACTTGCCAACAAACAGTAATTTTAATTTATTTGTAACAAACAGTTATTTCTGATGAAAAATTGAGGACAATTTGAAATATCAAATATATATATAAATAAATAAATACTTTCATAAAATAAAACATTATAATTTTTAATTTGAAACTTTTTCTATATATACATATTAAGAAAGTATACGTGGCTTCTCATTATATATATATATATATATATATATATATATATATATATATATATATATATATATATATATATAAAAAAAAAGAATATATATATATATATATAAATAAAAAGAAAGAACAGTAAGATATATAATCCGGTGTTCTTATAGATATTTTTATTTTTTACAAAATAGTGCTCAATGTAAATTTACAGAGCATTAATATTATAAATTAATTGATTTAAAATATGTTTTTTTTTTTTGCTATACAGTTCTAACCATGTTTGAAACATGGTTAGAACTGTGTAGCGAAAAAACCATATTTTAAATCAATTAATTTATAATATATATATATATATATATATATGTGTGTTATTTTTTATGAAATGGATTAAATCCGACATATTTTAATTTGTTTTGCTTAAACGTTATTTTAGATGGATACTCATATTCGAGTAAATACTCTGTTTATTTAATTAAACAGTATTTAGATTTATTTATATTTACCGGTCTGAATATTCGAGAAATCTTGTCAGGAAATATGCGTCCTCCAGCAGGATTCGAACGTATGGTCAGCCGTCATTAGATCTGACGTGCTTAACCGATTCGCCCACGTAGGACTTCTGGTTACTTTTATAGGGGATGCAGGTTCGAATCCTGAGTCGCAATTACAGATTTGCCAAATTCAAAAGCAAACGCACGGCATGCACCAGTCCAAGCCATGATGATAACTGATGGTATCTGAAAAAATGGTAAGACATTAGTTAGATGAAGACACAATTGCCACTTGACTAAGTTTACTAGGGCCACACAGGGCGGTATTTCTGCCGCACCCGGTATTTATATTATATATATATATATATATATATATATATATATATATATATATATATATATATATATATATGTGTGTTTGTGTGTGAGAAATTCAAATAACACACATCAAAAAGCCACGACATTAAATCGTAATTTATTTTGTGCGAGAACAGAATTCCTTCCTCTTCCATTTTGGATTGCGTCGCGTTTTTTGGTCACTTCTGCAAAAAATATATCCACTCAGTTAATCTTGTTCCTCAGTTCCATTATATATCGATTCTGACTTTAATATACTTTCTTGTTTCTGGTTGCTGCAGCTTCTGATGCTGATAATGATGAAAGCCTTTTTCCCGATTCTACCAAATTTAGCACATTGAAAGAATGAGTAGAAAGACGATAAGAATGAAACAGAAAACAGCCGATCGATCAGTGTGTAAGAGAGAGAGAGAGAGAGAGAGAGAGAGAGAGAGAGAGAGAGAGAGAGAAAGAGGTAGAGAGATTTGTATAGGTAGGTAAGAGAGATGAAATTTTTAATAGGCAAACCCAGAAGTTTTGCAATAATTTCAGGCCACATCTCGGGGTGTCCCACAAGAACAGACGTTTACTAAATGTAGTTTAGCTAATCATAAATCAGATATGGATGAGAGAAATTGTGCTTCTGATCTGCTCTGAAAATCTGCATTTAAAGCTTTGAGATAGCCTGTCAACCAATGACACCCCTGAGAAAATGCAGCTATCTTAGCCACGAGATATATAGGGAAAATAACTTCGCTCGCTGGTGTGATTGGTATGATGATCATTAGTAAAATCCTAATCCTGACAATAAATCGGCCTACAAACAAATGAATATTTACTGTCAACAAGCCAACGTCCATGAGTGAGAAAGAGAAATGTCAAGAATAAGAGGAACAAAGGAAATTATTGAAAATAAAAGCAAAAACAAACTTGAAAAAGTCTGGAGTTTGCAGAAAGAAAAAGAGAGAGGAGGAGAGAGGTAGGGAGAGAAAGAGAGAGAGAGAAGGAGAGGGACAGAATGGACATAGCAAAACGCGTTAAATAGAAAAAGAGATGACAAAAAAAGAATGAAGAGAATGAAAACTGTCATCTAAATAAAACAATAGTAAGAGAGAAATCTATGGGAAAAGAAAGTAGATATATTTGTGACATGTTTTTTTAATCGTTTCACCCCAAGCATATAAATAAAGCTGATAGGACGCAAGAGTGTTAGAGAATATGAAAAAAAAAAAAAAACTACGAAGGAGAGAGAGAGAGAAAAATAAAAAAGCAACAATTAAGAATTTAGAAAACGAGTGACGTTGTATTTAAATTTTTGAAGATGAAGCAAGCACCCGAAAGAGAGTTCCACAAGCGATAAGTGCCAGCGAAGAAACTGTTAGCATAAGACTTACAGTTATAGCGAACCATTTTTCCTATCTATCTATCTATCTATCTATCTATCTATCTATCTATCTATCTATCTATCTAAAAATATAAATCATAAAATCGAATATAAATAAAAGATTTTAGCGAAAAATGATGAAAACTTTGTCATAACACAAATGTAAAATGAAATATATACTGTTCACGAACACACACAAGTGACCCCTATATATATATATATATATATATATATATATATATATATATATATATATATATATATATATATATATATATTATTTGATGTATATAGAGTGCGTCAAGTAATTTCGAACGAATTGATAAAGATAGAGATATCTGTGCATATATTCAACTTAGTAAGATAAAAAAATAATTGAATAAAACCACCTTCAGTCACCAAGGACCATCTCGATGCCGTTCCAGAAGTAACTGTATTCCGGGAACAAGTTATTGTCGTTCATGCCAGCCATTACGTCCACGATAGCGGCCTTCGATGAGCTCTTGGTTTTGTGGGACACCTTGTTGGTCTCTTTCCTTATGAATCCCTAGGATCATGATATCTGTGATAATCGTGAGGCTTCACCGTAACTATCTCCAGAAAGAATGCGTTTGTCCTGTTCTTTTGTTCCTGGTCGAAGTTCCCATTTGAGAAGAATCAGAGCATGCCAAAATCAAGTACCTGTCTCCGCATGATGTCAGACAATGGACTTCGCTACTCGATAGTCATCATCGACTTGCTGTGGTCATGACTGATAATATTCTGAGCCTGTTGAGCGAAATTAACCCATTACAACGCCTAACCATTTAGAATGTTTCTTTCTATTAATCACGAATAACACATCTTTACCAGAGGCATCTATCTTGTTACTAACCTGACTAATTTTAAGAATCTGGCTACCTTTGAGGCGCCGTGGTTGGCGACTAATGCCACAAAGCAGATAATGCGTTTTCCTTTCTTCTGTCAGATTGGAAGCTGTCATGTTAATGCTTACAATATGTCTGAATTAGAAATGAACATAAAATTTGGCGCATGCTGCGTAACATTACATTAGATCGTCTTTCATTTAGGAAAATATATTCCCAAATAACTGACGCAAATTGTAAATTTGCGAACACATACATGTATAAATGCATCTAATCATATATGATATATGACTTTATATGGAAATTCAAATAATATTGCAGAAATTATGTTGTTTAACCGACACAGGAAGTTCCAATGTTAAGGCTGATATTTCTATCTGCTAAACATAGACAAGACATGTGAGCAGAGAATCATAGGAAATGTATGTTTTCTCAATACTAATGTCAAATTAATATGTATGATTATAGAAAAGTGAGTTTTGGCGATAGATTAAACGCCTATTAATATCATCATATAAAAAAGAATAGCCTCTGTGAAGAAAGAAATAGCTAAGACCGGCATTTATATCATAAGCAGGCATATATAATAATAAGAACCTTTTTCCCGACACCTCGTGTAGGCTCTCTTATTAATTTTAAAGCAGTTACCATACAAGCGTACAAAATAAAGAAAGGATCTTCATATTTTCATTTGTATGTCGCATATAAAGAAAATCAAAATAATATCCATAAAAACCTAGGGCCTGGTATTAGTGTTTTGAGAAGGATATTTTGTTAAAACATTCTCAGACCATCAATAAATGCTCAAGAGAAAATCAAGTCTATTGTTCTGTAATATATATTTATTACATTCCCATCTTAGACCTACCTTTTTCAAGAACTAGAATTAATAAAAGTTATTATTTTATATTGAATCTATCATGGTACGGTCAAGTTACAAGAAGGACCTCAGACAGTACTTTTTGAATTCTTCTTACTGCATCCAATGAGGCAAATTTGTGTAGCGTTCGCAAAGTGTATTTTACACCAAGTTGGTGTACATATTGTTTAAACTTTAATGGTATGAAGTGTCCCAATCACTATCTGGATGACTTTAACATTTTTCCCCGGTATTTTCTACAATCTGGCAATCTCGACTTTCAGTTCACAGAATTTTCTGATCTTTTCTATTTGCTTTGCTGTTATAATGTAGTCGGCACGTATGGTCACATCAAATATTTGGCATCCATTTTCAGTTCTGTTGAGGACAACTATATCTGGTCGTCGTTCAATGACACGATCTATTTGAAAATTATAGCCCTAGACTGTTTTCCCTTTCAATGATACGTGCTCGTATCATTTCTCGGATATGTAGTAACCATCTTTTATTTTGGACAAGAGCTAGTATAAGATAAGGGAAAGTTAGTTAAGTCATCTTTTGTACTCTCTCCGTGCTAGCATTTTACAGACATTGATTACATTTGTTGCATTATCTTGTTTCTATCTACAAAGTCTCCACATCTGTAGTGTAGTACACTTTGCTGACTATGATTTTCGTATGTAAGGTTTGTTCCTGTGCTGTCATGATTACTATTTCATTCAAGCATTCCTGGAAGGCTTCATAGGCCTTCCTTTGCACTTTCAAACTGTCTCTACAGTTGCCTGTCCAATAGTTGGTCACGTTTCACCCCTGCTTTTCTCGAATTCTTCTTCTACCTGCATCTATACCCATCTGTGACACTCTGTACTGCAGATTTTCTTCACTGTTTACCAAGAAGTGTTCCAGTGACCATTCGTTTCCAACCGCATTGCCTTTACTTTTGTCCTTAATTGTAAGTAGAGTTCAACTGGCTCCTATCCAATCAGGGGTAGAGCCATTATATACGCATTCATCCAGGTGTCTTGCTACCGTATAAAGCAGAGAATCTCTTCCGTCAAAATCCCTCTATGCCATCATGGCAGGGGATTTATTCTCCATTTTGGAAGCTTCTTCACTTGTGCGGATACATCGTCAACAAATAAGCGAATAAAATCTTTCTTGGGCGTGTTTAGAATCTTGCTTTTAACAGTATCAATCTATTCAACTTTCTTATTGTGGCTGATAATCTTGCTCTCATATGCCATTCCAAAAATCCCGTGCTTCTGAAGCGTTAGGAGCTTCGTTCTTATCACTGTCACCTTGAAACTGCTGTAGAATGGTCGCATGTTGTTTTCATACAAACGATTTTACTAAAATTGCTCACAGCGTTCTGCATACATCCGGATCCTCTGTGTTTTTGATATGATTCTCTGTTTCAACTGCTTCATAACTATTCCAAACCCAAGTAAAAATCTTATATTTCCGTTCCAGCTCATCTCACTCGTTCTGCTTATCATATTTCAATTTCCCTTTATATCTCTGTTCTAACTCAAATGTTTTCTTAGCAGTAAAATCTCTCTCTCTATCCTCCTCCTCCTTCTCTTGCACCATGACACTTTTTCTTTCTTCTGCTTTCTCTTCATTTCCAATTCCTCTGTAGCGCGTATCAGTTCCCTTGTCTCTGATATTATTTGTCTGTAGAATATCATTTACCTCCTGGGTAACTCTCTTCTAACATCGTTTCTATCAAACCCTTCACAGGTTCATGAGAGTACGGTCATCTGGACTGTTCATTAATTTGAGCAACCTCTTCAACAATGCATTCTGACCTTTTCATCTACTTCCGGTACAGGGTTTCCTTGAGCTTCACAAACGACCGGAGCAGTTTTATCGACAGACATTTCCACTGTCCGTTTATTTCAGGATTCAGCTCATGTTGTCCTTCTTTAGAGATTTCATTGTTAAGATATTTATCATTTTTGACGTTGTTAGCAACTTTTCTGCTGTGTAATTTCAATATCATTTAGCCATTCTTTGTTCCGTATCACCCTTTCCTGTTCCATCAATCCATTTTCAGGTATCTTCAATTAAGCTTATTGTATTATTTTTCTTTTACCTGATTTTCTTTTCGGTTTTTTCTTACCTTTCTTAATTCCTGTCAAAGTCCTTTTTCATACTTCAGAACGAGGAAATAAATTATCCTTCCTTCTCGTGCTATTCAATTGAGATCTCATACTCGTAACTTCGACCTGTTTTGTCGCTTACGTTGCATACTTGATGATGTTTCATAGTCTGTTGCAGGATAACGACCGGCGTGAGCCTGACCATCCTCACTCTCACACCTAACGCCACACCTACCGGGCGAGGGACCTTCACCGCTGTCAGTTCCAGTGCTATTAAAGCCGTTATGAGATTAGTTCCCTATTACATAATTTCCATGAGTTGGTGTGTTTTAGGTGTTTTCCTTCGCCTGGTCATTTGATATTTCTTTGACTCTTTGCGGTGATTCAGGTAAAGTTATTATTATTGTTATTGTTGTTGTTATTATTATTATTATAAAAACAGTAACTGTTTAGAGGAATATAAATTCGAAAAAAAAGTTTAAAAAGTGATTATATTAAAAATTAGAAAGTAGACGTTAGAATTTGGAACGCTTCTTTCCCAAGAGCGAAAAATTAATTAATGCAATACTTAATGTAATTTTGAGTTCTTTTGTAGTTTATTTTTGCCTAGTGCATCTACTCCTTCCTACTTATTGTGATGAAAGTTCGATGAAGAGCCTTCCGCAGGAGCTAGTTTAAATGTCGCCCGATATGGCAGATTTTAAGCTAGTAATAAATATTATTTACTGTAAATTCCATCGTTTTTCTTGTCATAAAAGCATACATCCGTTTGACTGTCACCGTTCTACTCTAAATTATTATTATTATTATTATTA